GAAATCCCATCTCTAAAAAATATGTAAATAAATAATTTCAAAAATTAGCCAAACCTGGTGGCATGAGCCTATACTTCCAGCTACTCAGGAGGCTGAGAGGTGGGAGGATCAATTGAGACCAGGAGTTTGAGGCTACCATGAGCCAGATCACACCCTGCACACAAGCCTGGGTGACAAAGCAAGATCCTATCACAATAATAATAATAATAATAATAATAATAATAATAGGTGTTTAACTTAACATGTACATAGATGTTCTAATTAATACCTATCTTGAGCTAGATTCTATACATTTATGTTTTTATTTTAAATACTCTTTTCCAAACCACTTCCCACCTCCATATATGAACACACATAAACCCACAAGCACCATTTATTCTATAGGAATTTGTTAATTATCATTTGCTTGCCTTGCCGTGTCTAAGATCCTAGGAAGGCAGGAAAATAAAATTAAAAAGAAAACATGTTACCTTTGAACTCAGGAAGTTATAGTCTAGTATAGAAAACTGACCGCACAAAAAACAGCTAGTCATGTTCTAAGCAACACAGGAACATGGGCAAGATAAAAATAGAGTCTAGCCTTCACAGATTGAGGAACTCTGGTGTTTAAACGTTGACTCTATTGTTCTCATGATTTAACTCCTCCAAGTAGAGAGCTTGATATTTAGCTAAACTGAAAGGAAACACAACTGCCCTTTGCATTTGCTCCTCCTAATGCATGCAGTGGCACAGATTGCTAATCTGCTCTGTGTACTGCCTCAAACTTTTTTCCCATTGGCTTATGAGTATAGTCATAGCTTCACTCTGTTGGTCACAAAAGACTCTTGAAGACAGGAAGCAACTGTTTCATCTATTTCTTTGCATCTCCTACAGTGTCCAAAGCTATGTCATCTTGTTGTAGACAATAATTTAGCCCCTGCTGTATACTAGGCCCTAAGTGAGATGCTACAGTTGTAGAGATGGCTGATATCCCTGCCTTCACTCAGCAAACATTTCTTGAGCATTCCCCAAATGATAGACCCCATCCTAAAAGCTCTGTGTACATATATAAGTAGCATTCTCCCTCTACACTCAGGAGTAATGCCCCAGTGAAGAGGGCAGATATCTGTACTGTATTAATTTGCAATGGCTGCTGTAACAAAGTACCACAAACTGGGTGGCTTAAACAACAGAAATTTATTGTCTTACAGTTATAGAATTATAAATCCAAAGTCAAGGTGTCAGTAGAGTTGTTCTCTTCTGAGGGCTGTGAGGGACGAATTTGTTCCATGCCTCTTACCTAGCTCCTCATATTTGCTGGCAGCCTTTGGTATTCCTTGGCTTGTAGAAGAATTGCCCAATCTGTCTTTATCTTCATGTGGCATTCTCTCTGTATGTGTGTCTCTGTGTCCCTATTTCTCCTTTCTATAAAGACGCCAGCCATATTGCATTAAGGGTACCCTCTACTATAATATCATCTTAACTAATTATTTCTGCAACAACCCTATTTCCAAGTAAGGTAACATTCTGAAGTATTGGAAGTTAGGATTTCAACATGTGAATTTAAGAGGGGGATAGAGTTAACCCATAACACATACTAAAAAGGAAACCCAACATGGCCAGTGCTGTAATAGGGGAATATATGAAGAGTTGGGGGGCACGTGAGAGCACATGGCACTGAGTTTAATGGGTATGAGGACAAGCATCAGAGAAAAATTGGACAAGTGGCCAAAGCTTGGTTGGACTAATGGGTGTTTTTCCAGGTGGGGAAAGGAGAAAGAGATTTTGATTAAAGACACATTTGCGGGAGGTTGGAGCACTTGGGAATTGCAGAAAGTCTTAAGGGGTACAGACCAAAGATAGGGCATATAAAGAAGAAGGGAGGTAGAAGACCTAATCCAAAAACAAGGAGATGCTATGGAGGGTTTCAGGAGGTTACTATTCTGGTTTGCATCTGCATACTAGAAATTTCACTCTGGTAAGAGTTGGGTGGGCACTGAAAAGGGTACCATGAAAGCAGAGAGACCAGTTAGAAGCCTATTTGCAAGTCTGAGCAAGAGATTATGAGGCTCTAGATACATCAAGAGCAGTGGAAATGGAAAAGGGGGAGGGGCTTCCAATGAAAAATTTTAAACAGAATGATGGGTCCCAGCAAACAGCAATTTAGGATAACTTCAGCATGAATGGAGATGATGGATGTGAGGCTGGTGAGTGACATAGGGCCTGAGACATGGAAGACCAGAGCAGAAGGAGAAGGCTCATTTGTAGGAGGGGGAAGATAGATTTGAGCCAAACCAGAGGATACCAACATCCTATTGGCCAATCCTACTGGTAGGATTTCCACTCTCCTATCCCAGCTTTACTCACACTTAATATCTAACTCCCACATGCAGTTCTGCACTTGATCTTGACCTTTAAAGGGCATGGAAAATATGTTTACATCATTTCCAAGCAAGTTACACTATTGTTCCCTAAATTGGGGCCCCAAAAAAAGAGTCTACTAAGGGAGTATGACCCCCATGGGTTGAGGAGAATTGAAGTCACAAGACCAGTGATGTAATCACATCCACATCCTTTGCCAGTCCAGAAAAAATGCTCACCAACTTGCCACACAGAGATTGCAGATACAGCACCACTGTCCAATGCATGACTTCTTCATCTGCTGGCCATGATATCTAATTAAACACATTAGAAGTTGCAAAGTCTCTCAGAAATTGGAAACTGGTTAAAATTTAATTCCAGATAAAAAGGAGGAGGCAGAACCCCTCGAAAGGCCCACCGTCAGACCCAGAGGAGTGCAGTAGCTGGGAAGAGAATCATCTTGAGTTTCTTCACTTGGACTGGGCACTCGGGCCACAATGTTGTACCCCTGAAAGTAGGTTCCTTCCTGCTATCTTCCTTTTTCATTCTTTTCTATTTTTGTCCTAGCGATGAGCAGTCTCTAACCTGACCTAGTGTACTATGGTAACTAATAAGTAAACATAACGATCACAAACACATATTTCACACTTATTCAGCATGAGTTAGGGACTATTCTAAGCAAGGCATACATTGTCAAGTGCCACAGAACATTTTAGCCAATGCAACGGTGGTCCCATAAGATTACAATACTATATTTTTACTGTATGTTTCCTGTTTAGATACACAACTACTCTCCACTGTGTTACAACTGCCTACAGCATTCAGTAGTCACATGCTGTACAGGTTTGTACCTAGGATCAATAGCCTACGCCATATAGCCTTAGTGTGTAGTAGGCAGAACCATCTAGGTTTGTGTAAGTACACCCTGATGTTCACGCGCAAGGCAAAATTGCCTAAGGATGCATTTCTCAGACAAGACACATAACTGTACTCCAATTCGTTTAAGTCTCCTAATAACCTTAGGAGGTAGGTTCCATCATTATCTTTATTTCCAGATGAGGAGGCTGCAAAGTCCATAAGAAACCTTCCACTGAACCCCGGGGAAAGAACTCTGGTCTAAATCCACAAAGCAAAGTATGTCTGAGGGTTCTTAATTCCAGCAAGGGAAGGGAGGGGTTAAAAAGCAGGATTAACTTACAAGGAAAAAGCTTTGCTTCCTGGGCAGGCAGCTCCTGGTGGATTTCCTGAACATTCAGCACGGTGGAGCGGCCTCTCCCATCAGACTTGCACTTTACTACACTGTGGGGGTCATTAAATAGAGAAGCCAGGAGTTCAGGGCTCCGTCCCTCCTCCTCAAAAGGAAAACTGGGTGTGGGGCGGGTACATTACCTCACAGGATATCGGAGAAAGCCTAAATGTGTCCTCCAGTGATTCATTTGGGTGGACGACTTTCACACCAAGCTAAACTCAAAATTTCGGAGTGGGGTCATCAGGGCCCCTCCCTCCCTGAGTGCAAAAAACATTTCCTCTTTTTAAAGTACAACCAGAGTTGGAATCAAACTCCTTCCAAACAGGAAATCAGCAGGATTCTAGGTAAAACGGATGCCTTACTTTTAAAGGTCAAGATCTTTCCTTCCCCAAGAGGATGTTTCCTGAGCGCCTACTATGTGCCAGGCACATAGTAGGTAGTTGTTATGAATCTTGATGTGTCCTGAGCTCTACAGGCGGTTGGGGGTGAAGGGGATACAAAGAGAGAAAAGATACCAACATTGCCACCCCTGCCTCTCCCCGCCACACTCACGGCAAAGCTTACAGGAAAAAGGGGTTTTTAGGGGGCTTGTGGTGTCTTGAAAAAAAGAAAGAAATGGTAACAAGAGGCTTCGGGATCCCCCGCTTGAGTACCCTAAAGTGTCTGGACTGAGAACTAGGCAGGGAAAGTGGGAGGCCTGAGCGAGGGGGAGGGCGCAGGCAGTGGGTGGGTGACAAGGTGCAAGGGCCTCGCCGGCTGCGGGTCAAGAGTTGGCCGTCAGCTGCGCCAGAGGCAGGTGCCAGCGGAGAGTGGGCGGGGGTGCCGGCGCCAGGCCAGGCTCGGGGAGGCCCTGCGCTACCTCTGCCTCTAGGAGTCCAGGCGCGCAGACGAGCTCCCCGGAGCCGCTTCAGCTTCGCCAACTCCCCTCTCCCGCCGCCCGTGCCAGCCGGCGAGCACTGGCGTCCCCGCCGCCCGCAGAAGGAGTCGCGGGAGCAGTCGCCGCCGCCGCCGCCGAGCGACAGCATCCTCGGGAGTGACTCCCCGGCCTCCGCAGCCGGCTGCCTCCGCCTACCCTCCGCGCGGCTCTTCGAGGTTGCCCCCTGCCCCGTCGCCCCGCCCGCCGTGACAGCCGGTGCCCTAGGCCGGGGGCCCTTCACCTGCCGCGGGCGCCCGGGAGGGCGGGCGCAGGGGAGAAAAGGCGCAAGAAGCGGGCACCCGGGGAACCCCATTCCCTTGGCTCACTCGGCGCGGAGAAGCGACGCCCGCTGACACCGAGAGCCCCGGCGTTCCGAGCACCTGGTCTCCAAGTTCAGGAGCGACACCCCTCCACGGGGCACTAGCCCGCGCGGGGAGCATTCCGGTGCCCTCGACCCCAGCCCGCCCGCGGGACACCAGGCGCCTCTTCTGCGCTCGCCCCGGGACCTCGTAGACTGCCCGCCCGCCCCCAGAGGCGTCCCCTTCGGCCGGCACGCCCCGCCGCCCCGCGCCCGGGCTGGGCCATGCCCGGGCTGCGCCGGGGCCGCTTGCTGACCCTGCTGCTGCTGGGCGCGCTGCTCTCCGCCGACCTTTACTTCCACCTCTGGCCCCAAGTGCAGCGCCAGCTGCGGCCCCGGGAGCGCCCGCGGGGGTGCCCGTGCTCTGGCCGCGCCTCCCTCACCGCACCGGACTCGGCCGCAGCCGCCTCGGACCCCGGCACGATCGTGCACAACTTTTTCCGAGCCGGGACCCGGACTGAGCCGGCCGGCGGCAGCCGCAGCGACTCGGGCTCCAAGCTGCAGGCCCTCTTTACCCACCCGCTGTACAACCTCCCGGAGGAGCCGCCTCTCGTGGGACCCGAGGACTCGCTCCTGGACAGCCAGGAGGCGCTGCGGTATTACCGGAGGAAAGTGGCCCGCTGGAACAGGTGAGGACCCCGCCTGCGACGCGGGAGAACCGGCGCTCTAGCCTGGGCCTCCCAGCGCCCGGGTCTCTAGTCCCCTGCCGCCCCCGGCCCAGGGCTGCGGCGGCTCCACCCAAGGCTCCAGCCCTGGCGCTGGGCGGAGGATGTGTTCCCCACTCGAACCCCACCAGCTGTTGCAGAGCTCACAGTCCAGTCCCGGAGTCAGAGAGTGCGAGGAAAAAGTTTCTGTGCAGCCGCGAGGAAACCCTCTCAGCCCCTCCCCTGGAGCGCTTGGGTCGTCCTGGAGCCCCACTCCTGCTCCCTCGTCCACTCCCAATCCCCTCTCTCTGTCCTGATGTGGAGGAAGCCGCCGCTGGACTTGGGGTTTTCCAGAATGAGGCCCCAAACAGGGCGACTCCAAAACTAGTTGTAATTCAGCACTTAACTGGGCTCTTTGGGTAAACCTGGGCGCTTCCCAAAAAGCATGCTTCTCCCCAAAACCCAGTTCTTTCCCTTTCCCTCTACCCAGTGTCAGAAATCACAAGGGGGGTCACCTGAGGCAGGAAGTAAATGGTCAGTTCTCTGACGCAGCCACCCCATTGTTCACGTTTAAGACGCGGCTTGCGCCCCTGCAGCAAGTATTAGAACTTGAAGGCAGTTTTATCATCTTGTATTATTCTGGTGATTTGGACTGACTTGGATCTTCAGGTTGATGCTTCCACAGAGGAGATAAAAATCTGCCAGGGAATTTTTAAAACCCAAAGCAAAATACAGAGGAAAAAAAAATCAAATATATTTAGGATAAAGTTAAGAAGAATCTTTTTGGAAAGGGATGGGGGTGTTGGAGAAAGCCGCATTGGTCATTAGTGAGATCCCTTGCTAATGGCAGAAAGCCTCCCTATGAGTTAAGAACTCTGCTTTGAAGTACAGAACTTGTCTAAATACCACTCACATGCAGAGTTCACCAGCGCACCACACCCGTCTCTTTACTTAATACAAGAGATTTCAAAGTAAGATGTCACCGGTGGTTTTATCATCCCTCCGGAGGATGAACAGACCACAAATCTCTCTTGAAACTCAGAGCTGGGCCAATTTAACTGTTTGCTCATTATTCTGTAATGCTGAGATTGGAGGGAGGAAAAAAAAAACTTCAGAAAAATTTTGCAAAGAAGTTGAGTGATTGGCTGAATCACTGTGGTCAATTTCAGTAGCAAGTCTATGGCTCATGATTTTATGTTAGAAAGAAAGTGATTCTCAATTCCGTTGTTAATTGCGTGCAGTAATAAAAGGTAGTTTGAGGTTGCTTCTCAGACACTCTCATTTTCAATATTATCTTTATTTCATCAATAACATGGAAGTCTGGATTAGTGAACCAGGAAATTTTGCCATTAGAGAAAGCATCTACATGTCTACTGTGGATCTGAGAATGCGAGACTGTAGACAAAGTCACTTGCTTTTGTAAATGTAATCAGCCTTCATTTAGGTACATTTCTGTGGCCTTAAACTTCCTCATGTTGCTTTGGACCCGAAGCAAAGTCCAGGGAAGTATTATGACAGAAAAGCAAAAATCTTTCTCACCAAGCTGTTATACAATCAGTTTTAAGTTTGATTTCCACACCATTATGTGCCAACAAAGACCGAAACACACACACACACACACACACACACACTTACTGACCAGAAATGATCTTGGTCATTTAACAGAAGATCAAGGAGGGACTGGTGGCCTTGCTATATACAGAGGTCACAGAGTGGTTTTGTGTGGTTGGTCAAATGTGTCACTTTCCCAAGCAGGGTCTATGGACCATAACAGGAGGATCCGCTGCACTTATAAATGTTAAAACTGGACCTCAGAAGCCGAGATCCCTCTCCCCCCACCCAAACTGTATTGTAAACCTTAACTATAATAAGGAGATGTGTTGTTACTTATATCAGGGTTAAAAATGAAACTCAAGGCTGGACAGGGTGGCTCATAGCTGTAATCCCATCACTTTGAGAGGCAGAGGGAGGATCACTTGATCCCAGGGGTTCAAGACAAGCTTGGGCAACATAACAAAATACCGCGTTATAAAAAAAAAAAAAAAAAAAAAAAAACTCCGGGCGCTGTGGCTCATGCCTGTAACCCCAGCACTTTGGGAGGCTGAGGCGGGTAGATCACAAGGTCAGGAGATTGAGACCAACCTGGCCAACTTGGTGAAGCCCTGCCTCTACTAAAATTACAATTAGCCAGACATGGTGGCGCACACCTGTAGTCCCAGCTATTCAGGAGGCTGAGGCAGGAGAATCACTTAAACCTAGGAGGTTGAGGTTGTGGTGAGCCAAGATTGCATGACTGCACTCCAGCCCGGACAACAGATCAAGACTCTGTCTCAAAAAACAAAATAAAAATAAAAATAAATAAATAGCAGGTGGTGACACGCACGTGTAGTCCTAGTTACTTGAAGGACTGAGACAGAAGGATTGCTTGAGCCTAGGAGGTTGAAGCTGCAGTGAGCTGTGATTGCACCACTGCACTCCAGCTTAGGTGACAGAGTGAGACCTTGTCTCAGGGGGGAAAAAGACACGGAAGATTCACTAGCTCAGAGTTCTATTGTGAGAGGCAGTCATTCATTACCTTAAATGAGAGTTCTCCCTGCCGAATATGAGGATGTAGCAGTGCTGAGGTAGACCCAGGTCCTGCTACAATGTACAGGGCCGAGGACACCCCCAGATCCCAGCACCAGCCAGATTATTAGAATGGACAGCAGAGGAAGAAAGAATGAAGGATCTTGCTAATTGTTTCCTCTTGCACAGACAAGCTCTTCTTGTTTGTAGCCCTGCCAGTATTTAAAATCTAGTGATTTATAAACATGTGGGCCAGGTGCAGTTGTTCACACCTGTAATCCCCGAACTTTGAGAGGCTGAGGCAGGCAGATCACCTGAGGTCAGGGATTCAAGACCAGCTAGGTCAAAATGGTGAAATTCAATCTCTGTTAAAAATACAAAAATTAGTCGGGCATGGTGGCGGGCACCTGTAATTCCAGCTACTCAGCAAGCTGAGGCAGAAGAATCGCTGGAACCTGGGAGGTAGAAGTTGCATGAGCAGAGGTCGTGCCTCTGTACTCCATCCTGGGCAACAGGGAAAGACTCCATCTAAAAAAAAAAAAGAAAGAAAGAAAAGAAAAAATGTGGATGCCACCATGCCAATAGCGAACATGCAGTGCTATCCAAAATAATTGTATCAGCAAACTGTCCACCACACCAGGAGAGGTGCAGAGAATAAAATAAGCCAAATTCATGTTCTTCACCACTTGCCCAGAAAAGACCATTAGTCTGAGTGACTTTTTTTTTTTTTGTAATTTTGACCATCATACCAATAAGAAATGGTATCAAGTCAGAAAGTGTCCTTCCACAATTCAAGCTCATTACCAATAAGAGGTAGCTAATGGTGTGTCTCCCCACCTCCCCACTCACCCACACGTTCCTTTTTGACTTCACACAATGGAAGATGACATTTGTACTGTTTTGAATGTCTTGAGTTTTCAATTAATATTTGTTCACTGCATATCAACATTTAGACATTTAGTTAAGTTACAAACGGGAAGACTTGATTTTTAAGGTGGGCTGTCCATGTGCTATCTGGCCCAGAAGCTTTCTGCAAACCTCCTTCACTCACTGTTCTTCCCTCCCTTCCTTTCTTTTCCCCCAAAGAATGTAACTAAATGTGGCACAATCCAAGTTAAAAATGTAATCAGGGAAAGTGCTTCTGTCAGGTGGTCAGCTGCTGATCACAGCCAGCGAGCCAATGCCAGGCTCCATCAAGCGTGATGACACATTTGGCATCTGTCTTGAATAGTGACGAAGAAAGAGCACAGGGAAGAAGAAAAAGGAAGTCTTCACTATTTCAGGCCATAAACGAACAAGCCAGAATTGTGCTGCTCTTAGTCCTTTGCTTTAATAAGTGATGACGCAGGGCAGGCAGGCTTACCTGGAGCACAGGTGATGATTCATATTGTTTCTCTCCTTTGCATTCTTATAATACCCCGAGCTTCCGATTTCTTCCCTGGCCCACAAGCTGCCCAAATCAGACAACAGCTGTCTTTTGACATGTCAAAATTGATCAGCTTGGCCAGTTTTGCTCACATATCATTGGCCTTTTGGCCACCTATCTTTGATCAGTTTCTCTGTAACCCTCTGGTCTTGACAGGCAAGGTCAAACAAGGTCAGATCTCCCTAGCGTGGAAACTCCAGCAGCTACAACACAACCATGAGTTTTTGCTTTCTCTTCTTTCTTGACATCTTCCTCAGATGTCAGGAAGGTTGTATTGTCTTGCAATTACAGATTCAGCATTTCTTAGAGAAGTGTGAGGGGGAGGGGGAGGGGGTTTTCCACATCCAAAGTTCTTGCCTCGTCCCCTCCCATGCCCCCTCACCCCCCACCACCCTGCTGCCACCGCCATCCTCCTACCTATCGCTGTCACTGAAAGAAAACCTAGTCCTGGGTCTCTCTTTGAAAATCACAGCAAAGAGACTGGGCAGCTTTTCAAAAATGACAGTTGGTCAAAGGGAGTAAATTGGCTGAAGTTTTTCCGGGGGATGCTTTGAGAAGATCCAGAAGCCAAGGAAGATAGAGGAGAAGGGGGAGAAGAAGTCAGGAGAGATGAAAAGCAATTCAGCTAGAAGAACTGCCTAATCTAGGAAGTTGGGGAAGGTAAGCTCCTCCCTGCCCCAGCCCCCCACGGCATCTGTGGAAGGAAAAATACAACCTCTCCATTCTCACCCCCATCTTTTTATCTCTGTCCTGCTTATCTTGTGCTTGCCCTAGAATGCTCTGAACCTAGATTACTTGTGAGCAGGCAGTTCAACCTGCAGGCTGGATGAAAGTCCAGGTTCTTCCTCATGGATGGTGGCCATTTGCTTCTCTGCCAGAGTCAACGGGACCTTGGCTCCTTGTCGGATTCTCCTGCCAACAATCCTAGGCTAAGGCAGGAAGTGGCCTCCTGTGATTTGGAAGTGGACATCCACCATGGCCCATGTGTGGCTAG